GCTGCTTAGAGCATAGGTTTTAGGAGCCATTTGTGTCGGCTTCGGCTCTCAGTGTAAATCCGGAGTCACTCTCGTTGGGATCACTCGGGGATCGGCTTTGCACCGGGGTCACTGCGGTCAGAATCTGGGCCCTTGTTTTTAACCCCGGCGGTTCCCGTGCCACAAAAGCGGGGCCTAGGCTGCGTTGAGAGCGCACGTCGGTTCAGACGACGGCTCACGGATTGTGAAGTGTGTGTGGGCTTCGGCTCTCAGTGTAAATCCGGAGTCACTCTCGTTGGGATCACTCGGGGATCGGCTTTGCACCGGGGTCACTGCGGTCAGAATCTGGGCCCTTGTTTTTAACCCCGGCGGTTCCCGTGCCACAAAAGCGGGGCCTAGGCTGCGTTGAGAGCGCACGTCGGTTCAGACGACGGCTCACGGATTGTGAAGTGTGTGTGATTTCCGCACTCCCCACCTCCGCTTTGCCACTCACCACGGCGCGCTGCGGGCAGCTGAAAAGCACCGAGCGCTGCCCCGGGGGAAAGCGGCAGCCTTTGGAGCTGGGGCTGCGTTTTGCCTTTCATTTACGCGCCGTTTATTGCCCTCCCCGCTCCGCTGATGGATCGCGGTGCCACTTCGGAGACTTGGACGGAAATTAGCAAAAAGGACCCGGCTGGCTAGTAGGAAATGGGAACGAAATGACAGCTCCATCTAGATCCGATTCCCTGATAAGCGGGATCTTTCCCATCCCCTGCCCCCTCCACCCCGGTGTTTCATAACCACTTAGAGCTAATATATCAATTGATTTACTTCTCCAAATAGTCCCCGCTGTGCGGTGGAAGTGGGAGTTTAGAGAACCTACTGACCCCTCGCCGTAACCTTGCTCCTCGCGGTGCCTTCGCCTGGTGGGACCCTCTCAGCCATTAAAACCCAGGCCCTGTCACACTTGAAAGCGACAGGGGCTATTAATCAGCAGCGCCTCTCGCTCGCTTTTTTTTTTAAATTGGCCTTTTGTAATTATCGCCTGTTGCAGCCGCCCCCGGGGAAACGAGATGTCAGAAGTTGGCGAGCCTGGGAGAGCCCGCAAGCTCCGGTCTCTGCGCCGCACCGTCCTCTTTGCCCCAGTCCCCGCGGGGCTGAGCTGCGCGGGGTGGCAGGGAGCCCCTTCCCGGCGCTTTTTTGCCTCCTGGCGGGAGCCCGGAGTTTGGTCCTGGGCGCTGCCCAGCCAGCTGGAAAATTCTAACCCCGGGGGGTGGCGGAGAGGCGGGCGAGGCGGGGGGGGTTGTTTA